AAAACTAAAGAAAAAATCTATTTATCCAAAGCTATCGTAAATTTAAAATATAAAAATAATTAGAATTAACGAGAATTTTAATAAATTTATAAAATCTCATTACCTAAGTATCTATAAAAAAAAAAAAATTAAAAGAATTCTTTCCCGAAACCCAGGAGGAAATAAAAAGAATCCTAAATTAGTATCAAGATAGAAAAAAATTTATATTATATTTCTTCAAAAGTGGGAATCTATAAAAAAAAAAAAAAATAAAATAAAAATAAATAAATTCAATAAAGGAAAGAAAATTTTCCTTAAAGTAGGTTGCTTAAAAGCGACTGATCCTAAATATTAATTAAAAATAGGTTGCAGAAAGCAACTGATCCTGAATATTTTCAAGTAAAGTAGGTTGCAGGTAAAGCAACTGATCCTAAATATTTTCTAGTAAAGTAGGTTGCAGAAAGCAACTGATCCTAAATATTTTCTAGTAAAGTAGGTTGCAGAAAGCGACTGATCCTAAATATTAATTAAAAGAAGGTTGCAGAAAGCAACTGATCCTAAATATTTTCAAGTAAAGTAGGTTGCTTAAAAGCGACTGATCCTAAATATTAATTAAAAATAGGTTGCAGAAAGCAACTGATCCTGAATATTTTCAAGTAAAGTAGGTTGCAGGTAAAGCAACTGATCCTAAATATTTTCTAGTAAAGTAGGTTGCAGAAAGCAACTGATCCTAAATATTTTCTAGTAAAGTAGGTTGCAGAAAGCGACTGATCCTAAATATTAATTAAAAGAAGGTTGCAGAAAGCAACTGATCCTAAATATTTTCTAGTAAAGTAGGTTGCAGAAAGCAACTGATCCTAAATATTGTCTTAATTTCCCAAAATTAAACGGGATGTAAAGTAGGTTGTTCAAAAAAACAACTGATCCTAAATATTTCCCACAATCAAATGGGACATTTGAAAGATCCCATCTCACTCAAAGGGATTCTTTAAAAAATTAAATAAATAAAAAAGTAAAACAAGTGGACGAATTCATATCCTTTGCTAAATCTTCTTGTAACTCTTACGTCCACTCCTCCTTGGGATAATATCTTGATGAATATTTGATTGATGATAAAAGCCTTTAATTCCGGGTTCCCTAACGAAGGAACTGACAATAAATGACTCACGAAGTATATTAATGAACTACTATACTGATGATATAAAACAAGAATTGAAATGACATAAATGTATTGGTAATATTATGAATAATGTACAATTCTGTTTGCACGGCAACATATCATTCATCCACTAATACATTATCCTGTAAAAAAATTTTTTATGTAAAACACTTCCTATTCCTATCAGAGGAAATTTATCAAAAAATTATTCTTTTATCCAACCTCAAGTCCTTTGCCTCTGATGAGCAATAAAAAAAAAAAAAAAAAAAAAAAAAAAATTCCATTACTGGGAAAACCTCAATTTGTCTGGACTGACAACTCACTTGGAATATCTATGCGAAAAAGTAACGCATATGACTTCGCCAAAATCTTGTAAAATCAAGATTCTCACAAAGGGATTACGCAAAGAAACACCTGAAGAGTGCTCAAGATTTAAAAACGAGTCTAATCAATCAAAGAATAAACAAGAAGAAGAAAAGAAGAAAAATTACTAAAAATTTCAAGAAAAACAAAAACAAATTTTAACCTAATTAATATAATAAAAAAAAATTTGTTTCCTTTTAAGGGGGAAGGTGTTGTGATCCCAACGAAATCTGGCCAACAACGAGGGCATCTGTTTTAAAATTTATATTATTTATTTATTATGGATATTTATTTATTTGTTTATTCCAAATCAAATCTAACCGCTTGAGAAGTTTTAATGAGAGTATTTGTTTATTATTTATAAGCGTGACATAATTAACGCGGACATTATTTGTTTACTCAACATTCTGGAACACGTTCTTTCCATTAAACTGGAATAGCGAACAAAGACCGTATTCATCCCTTAAGAAGGAGATGATAGATTTATTGGTCACTTCAAGTGTAACAGATGCATCGATTGTTTTGGTCTTCATATAAATAGTGGGCTTCGGCACCACGTCTTGGTCTTTCGACATCCGTCCGTCAGTCAGAGTCTGCCTGGTTGTGTCTATCGCATAGCGTTGGGGACAGTCAGTGCATCTTAGGTTGGATTCAAGAGCATCAGATTCTATTTCCGTTTACTTTACATTTAGTGTTTAACTGATAAGTAGTGTAACTAGTAGTATATTTGGTTAATATAATACATCAGGTAGAAATTGTCTACTTATTATATTAAATATCCGAATCAACTGCGAGCATACTACAAATCAGCAAAACCGAGTCTCCTCGAGAACGAGGTCCATAACAATATTACGGATGGAAACGCGACTCACTGACACTCACACACACAAAAACTTTTTTTTTTTTTTTTTTTTAAATAAATTTAATACGTGAAAATTAACTTTGATTTTAATATCATTTGCCGACATTTTTCATTTTCATTTTCATTTTCGTCTAGTACAGGTACGAAAAAAAAAAAAAAAAAGAGAAAAAAATAAATTATTATTTAAGTAGAATGATGCATGTACGCAAGCGGGGTTTCGATGCCGAAAAAAAAAAAAACCCCCGAAGCAAATTTTTTTTTTTTTTCTTTTCTCGCAATAACTTTTTTTTTTTTTTTACCCATCACAGTTTGTCCAACCGTAAAAAACCTGTTCCGGTTTTTTTTTTAGGTTCATTTACACATCCCTTCTCTATCTCTCTCTCTCTCTCTCTCTCTCTCGCTAATGTCTTTTTTTTTTTTTGGGTGAAACAATAAGAAAAAAAAATTTTTTTTTTTTTATGTGTGTATGTCTGTGAAAAAACAAAAAAAAATTCTCACGGTATTTGACCTTTACACGAGCGGTTATTATACGTAGATAATAATAATAATAATAATAAATTTTTTATTACTCGGTAATAAATTAAAATTTTTCATATCGACGACGACCACCACTACCGTCTTAAAATACAAAACAAATATTTTTCATCATCAACATTAAAATGATGACGTCATAAGTTTAGATCATTCATGGGGTGGTGGTAAAAAAAATTATTTTTTTATTACTTTTTAAAAGGGAAATTGAATTCTTTGAACAGTATATTAAAATTGATACGCGTTTAAACGCGAGCGCAAAAAAAAAATTGAAAAATTGCTACCGTTAAAGAAAAATTTTTTACCCCGCGGGTTAAAATAATCAATCGGTGGTCCACCTTCACTTTTTTTTTTTTTTTTTTTTTAAATCGAAAAATTTCAATCGATACAAATCGATCATTATCGATCGTTTTATCGACATATTTTTTTTTTTTAACGACGACTCATTTTTACGCATTCGTTATATTATTAAACGCGCGTAAAATTATATACTTTACAAAAAAAAATTATACTGTAAGTATAAAACCGCATAACCGCCAAAACGCATTAAAAAAAAAAAAATTTTTTTTCTTTTTCATAAATATATTAAAAGTATTCGTTCGATTGATCGATAAAAAAATATTCCGACGTCTAAAAAAAAAAAAACTACTCGTAAAAAGTACCCGTCACGATAAATTTAAAATTTGTCGATACCTTCTTATGTAATAATAATAATAATAATTGTCAACGTCCGACTACTATGCAATATTACATTCTGACTCGTGATAGAAAACACGAAAATAATAATTTTTATTTATTAATATTATTAATATTAAATTATTTCTAGAAAACAATAGATTTTCAGGTACCGAGTACCAGGTACCGGTACCGGTACCGGATACCGCGTACAGGTATTCGTTATGTAATTTTTAAATTATAAATAAATTGCGAAGATTTTTCAAACGAAAAAATTCACGTTCGGTTAAAAAAAAAAGGAATAAAAAAATTTTTTTTTTTAAAGTTACGGTGTCGTGAATTACAGCAAAAAGAAAATGAAAAAAATTGACTACCGCAAATCAATAATAAAAACAATTTCCCACATGTTTAAAAAAATTTTTTTTTTTTGCTCGAACCCACAGTTTTATTATTACTTTCCGATTTTGATTGATTTTTTTCTCATTTCTTTTTTTTTTACAGATGGAATTCGACAAAACAACAACAACAACAAAGAACAAAACATGGAAATTGTTACAAAAAGCAACAATCGATGAAATATGGTCGCACGAATGGGGTACGGAAACAAAATGTAACAAAATTTATCCATCAATAGCAAGTTGTTTGATACCGCCGACGTACAAACGAGACGAAGTACCCATTAAAATATCACTCGTCGATAAGGATTGTAAAAGTGATGGTAAAACACACGTGAGAGTTACCAACAAACAACAAACAAAGGAAGAAAAAGGAAAAAAAAATTTTATTATATGCGTTAAACCGTTAGATTTAAAAAATGGTTTAACGATACAAACAATTCGACAATGGATAAAAATAAATTTTAAATTGGGAGCTGATAAAATTATTTTTTACGCTGATAACGTAAACGCCGACGATTTAAACGTTATCAAATCGAATTATACACTGATAAGAAAATTCACTACGGAAAAATTTTCCGATTGTTCATCTTATGCCGAATCCCTTTGGTACAAACGGAAAATGGAAATTATTACGTACAACGATTGTTTTTATAGTCATTTGTATGAGACGAATTTCGTTATACCTTTGGACGTGGACGAAGTCATAGTACCGAAAAAAGGAAATAATTGGCGGGAAGGTTTTTTAAATTATTTTAATAAAACCGGAAATGAAACGTTAAATTTTCATATTCTCAAAAATTACGCATCTTTTTCCGTTCGAAACGCTTATTTTTTTTCAAAATATCCTAAAAATTCTATTGGAAAAAAAAAAAAAAAATGGCGTCGGAAAATATCCGGTGATGTTAATTTGAACGACACGATATTTGACAGGACCGTAAGGAGTTATCACTTGAGTCCGATATCGGATTCTGTTAAAAGTTTCATTTACGTACCCAATACATTATCAGTTTTTAATCATTATTCTTATCATGTTTTCGATCACGTGACAAGACAATATTTTTTCCCGAAAAATATTTTCCAATTGAATCATTATAGAAATTTTTGCGATCCTATATTGATCGATAATTGTCAACAATTTTTAAATCCCGTCGTTTACGATGATACTTTGAAAAAATTAATTAAACTATAAGTTTCCCCCCTTTCTCCCTATCTCTCTCGTTTGTTTGTTTGTTTGTTTGTCTGTTTGTACGAAAATGTTTTAGGCTGTATCGTAAAAAAAACTACAATTACTTATTGCTCCCCTAAATGTTCTTTTTGTGACGGGGGAAAAAAGTCGTCATGTCATTTTGAAGTTTTTTTTTTAATTTGAGAATGAAAACAAAAAAATTTGGCAACGTTGCAATAGCAGAAGACGTAAAAAAAATAACGTTTTTATTAAAACTACGATTATTTAACCGTCGTTTGTTTTTTTTAAGTTTGAACCAACAAAATCTTCCTCTTCCGAAACAACCAACAACCAACAATTTTTTTAATTGATAAATTATTTGTTTATGTATTTATGTACATAATATTTTTTATGTATTTATGTTTAGTTATTAATAAATAAAATAAATTATTATTAACGAAAATATTTTAATAAGTTTTTACTTTTTTTTAAATTTATTCCTTTACGTTATTAACGACTTTTTTTTTATTGATATAATTATTATTATGATGATGACGATGATGAGAATGATGATGATGATGACGATGATGATGATGATGACGATGATGATGATGATAATAATAATGATAGTAGTACATTACGTAGGCGCTTTCGAATAAATTGATTAAAAAATTTGGACCGAAACGAAAAAACTTTTAGTTTTGTAGCGAACGATCGACAAAAAAAAAATTTCATCATTATTATTATTATTATTATATTTTTAATTAAAATTAATAATTAATAATATTTATTTAAATATCATCGTTAATAATTAAAATAACGACAAGAGTAGTTAGTTGAAGCAGAAGACAGTGAGAGAGAGAAGGAGAAAAAGAAGAGAAAAGCGATGAGAAATGCATTCAAGACGCCATTTTTAAATTTCCTAAACGAAATTGTTATTATTATTATTATTTTTTCCTAGAATCAATAAATAATTTATGTTAATAACTTATTAATTAAAATTTGGAGATGTGAGAGAGGGGAAAAGAGAGGCGGTTAGATTATTAAAAAAATTTTTTTTTTAATTTCGACCGTTAATCAATCGGTTATGATGAAAATTGTTATTACGATGCATTTTATAAAAACAAATATGGCGTCGCAACTCGACGAAAAAAAAATTTAATTATTATTATTATCATCATTTGTTTGTTTTAACTAAATAATTAATTCAAAAATTAAATTTTCCCGCTTAATTTTCTAGAAGGTTAAGAAAAAAAAATTTAAAATTGTTCGTTCGAAATTTATTCGTTTTGATTTTGATTTTCTCTCTCCTGACTAAGTTTCCACCTCAAACAGGACCGTAAACAGGTTTTAAAGGCGATAATAATAATAATCCATGCACGACGAGGACATCTCTTCGGGTTAAACCGAAACGCAAAAGAAAAAAAAAAAAATTTTTTTTTTTTTTAAAACCGAAATGCAAACCGTGACGGTTACAGAATGTCGATGACAAAAAATATCACGCCGCGCGTTCAACCATAGAGTAAAAAAACATTTTTTTTTTGTTAGAATGCCAGAAATAATAATAATAAATCGTGTTATTCTGCGTAATTTGATTTTAAATACCCGTGAAAATTTATTTTTAATTTTCTTTTTTTTTGCATCGTTTGTTGTTTGTTGTTTGTTGTTTTTTTTTTTTTTAACTCTTTCACACTTCCTTTCATTCATTACGATCGGAAAAACATTTTAAATAATTTTGTACGATAATTAAGTAGTAAATAATAATAATAATTATAACAGTTGTAATAGTAATTAAAATTTTAACAAAGTAAATAAATTTTTTTTAAATTTATTTATTTGTCACGTGACATTCAACTTTTTTTTTCTATTTAAATAAATTAAAACGTTCTTTGTTGAATGTGCGACAAAATTTTAAAACAAAAAAACAAACAGCGACAAACACGACCGACGACAGAAACGAAAAACAAAAAAAAATTTGAAGAAAATTTGAAGAAAATTTCAATTCAAGTGCATATCGGGTACAAATCGGCTACGTTTCAAGTTTACGTGCACTTTGTTAAACGAACACAAAAGAAAATTAGGCAATGAGAGAGAGAGAGAGAGATATGATAAACGTTACCCTGGTACACCACAAACCAATAATATTTAATAAAAATTTTTACGCACGATCGATCGTATTATTATTACGCACTCGTAACACGCACGTTATTAACGTAATAAAAAAATTAAGAAAATTATTTCTTAATAATGACGTCATGAATTAATAAATAATAATGCCTTACTTATTTATTTATCAATTAATCGTTCGTAAAAATTTTTTTGTATTTGTATTTGTAAAAATCTTACCTTGATGGTTCTCCAGATGTTCCGACAACATTTCCATTTCCTCCTCCCACTCCTTCTCCTCCCGTACCACCACCACCGTTTCCGTTTCCGTTTCTATTCCAGGGTAATCTTCTCCAATTCCATCCGGATCTTAATCTATTATGATTTCCTCTATCTTCCGGATTTGGAGTGTAAAGATTTCCTATTCTACCAGTCGACCAAAATCTAAAAAAACAAAAAAATAATTTTTTTCAAATTTTTAATAACTTTTTTTTTTATCAACCGGAAATACAAATATATTAAATAATTTTAAACTGTTTCCGGTTGATATGGAATAATTTTTTAATTTTTTTTTTTAAACGTAAAAATTTATAATTTTTTTTTTACAAAAAGTTAAACAAACAAACTTATTTAAAGTTAAACGAAAAAAAAAAGTAACGTGATAATAATAATGATTACGATGGTGATGATGATAAAAACTTGATGATTTTTTTACGGTTTGAAAAAATAAAAAAAAAAAAAATTTAACTATTTACACGTAAAAAACTTTTTTTAATTATTATCATTATTATTAAAATTCTCAAATAATCCGGTTTTTATATACAAACTAACCATAATCAACAAAGTTAACAATTCACTTCCGTTTTACTATAATAATAATACTAATGATGATGATGATTTTAAAGAATTTTTAAAAGTTTTAAAAAAAAAATTTATCCAAGAGATTATTAACGAGTTATTCTTACTCTTACGTTTGGTTTATTAAAATTTAAATAAATTTTAACTATATGCTCTATAAAAAAAATTATAGCGGTATAAAAATGTCTATAAAAAATTTTTTTTAGTTCGTTTTTAAATTCTTTTATAAATTTTTAATTTTTTTTTAAGATCAGTAACGTTCATTCGATTAAATTTAAATTTTTCATTTTCATAAACATTTAAGCCTTCTTTTACATTAGATAATAATAATAATAGTATCAATAATAATAAAAATAATAGTAATAATAATAATAATAATATCAATAATAATAATATTAATAATATTAATAATGAGAAAATAAGACGAAACCTATTCATCAGACATGAAGCAGCATCACTCTCATATTCAGGCATTTATTCCTTAGGGATCGACCTGAGAGTAGAAACCTGAAATGAATGTTTTGAAAAACAATTCGCCGACAAACACAAGAATTGTCGTGATTATGAGTCATAATAATAATAATAATAATAAAGAATAATAAGAAGAAGAATTTAAAATAATAAATCGTAAAAGAAGTGACGTTGCGTGTAAAAACGACACAAATTCTTCGTCAACAGCTGATAAGCATATTTATCCCTAAGGAATCGGTTAAAAACCTGGAATAAATACTGGAACAAGATTCCGTTCCGACAAGAGGATTAAAAACTATATTCGCGATTAAAAAATGACATGAATAAATACGAGAACATTTTCACGTCGGATACATATTAATAAAAAAATTAATTTTTGACTTCATGACGTACCTATTTCTCATGAGTTCCCACGGGAATATTTCGTGCGGATGAGGAGGATACCGGCATTCGTCGCAACAACTATAATAATGTGGATTTCTCTGTTGTCTGTACAAATACCTACATCTCATTTCTAATTGAGCCCAATACATTTTTTTTTTTTCGTGGCTGAAAATCAAAAAAATTTTTTTAGCTTTTGTTGTTATCGCTGTTTGTTGTTTGTTGTTAAAAACAAAAATTTTAGTACCTGAGAAGTTGATAAATAAGCATACAACTAAATATACAAACTAATATTCCGATAACTGATAATCCGAAAATTGCTCTTAAACATGAATATAAAGCTCCGTGTATAACTTCACAATCTGGAGTCGAATTAAATACAAATTTTATACCTGAAATCATTAAAAGAAAATTTATCAAATCGTTCCTGCCACGTTCGTTTTTTTTTCCGATCGATCGTTTGACAAACGGTAAAAAAAAAACTTCCTTCCTTATTAATTTTATTCATGATAAAAATGAACAAACGATTACGACAAACAATTTATTAAAATAAAAGTAAAATTGTATGTCGTGGAAGAAGAAGAAAATAAAACTTGTAACAAACTAAGGAGAGTCAATAATAAATTATGAACGTTTAAACTTAATTAAAAAAAAAAATTTACTGGGTCGTCTCGGACGGAAAAACGGGGGGAGGGGGGAGGAAACGGAAAAGGAAAGAATAAAAAAAAAAAGAAATGGCGGATTTTTTTTTGAAATTTCATTTTTGATTAATTGGTAATTTATTAAAAAAAAAAATTTTTTTGAAACCACGACAGGATATTTTACGGCGGACACACCCATGTTAAAAACCAATAAATTTTCACTAATCAAATAAAAAAGGAAAATAAAACCGGAAACGGTTTTGAAAAAAAGAAAATTTTTTTGTATGATAAAACACTTAACGTAATTAAACAAACAAACAGACAAACCTTCGTCGGATATTCTATTATTATCCATAATAACGGAATAACACGTGCAACTTTGAGTTTTTTGCGTGTACAAACATTCTCTTAGCGTTTGTAGTCTGTTCATGTGTATGACGGTTGTCGTGACAGTTACGGAAACGCATAAAACGGCACAAGACAAACTACACAATCCGCATAATTTCATCAGAAAACTATTTCTATTCTTCCTCCACGCTAAACAAATAATTAAAAAACCTGTTGCTATTAACTGTAAAAAAGAAAAAGAAAAAAGAAAAATTATTTTTCCGTTAAAAAAAGAAAACCGGAAGTGTTTTTACTGCGGTGAAAAAAATTTTCCACTTTTTTTTTTTTTTTATCGAACTAGAAAGTTTGTTAATCAGGATAAATAAAAAAAAAAAAAAAAAAGAAACTCGCGGGCAAATTGAATATTTGCCAAAAAAAAAAAAAAAAAATATCGTGGGAGAAGAAAAAAAAATATATATTTATAACTTACCATCCCGGAAGGTACGTAGGTAGGCATAGTTTCAAAATGATTAAGTGATGACGTATATGATTTAAGCATAAAATAAACTGTAAGAAACAATGCGCCTAATAAAATACTCAATGAACCGCAGGCCGTACATAGGAAAACGTATTTTCTAAGACCGCTTGACCAACAGGACCTTGGCACTCCTATAAAAACAAACAAACAAACAAACAAAATTCATTTTGTAGCAAATAAAAAAAAAAAACCGACAAAAATCGGATCTCAAAAGTTAAAACAAATAAAAAATTTTTTTTTCAAATCCTGTACCGGAAATACAAAAAAAAACTGTTGCGTTGTTGTCGTTGGTGGGAAAATTTAAAATTAAAAAGGAAAAAAAGAAGGTGAAGGTGAAAAAGAAAAAAAAACGTGGACGTAGAAAAAAATTTTTATTTTTATAAAGAGTATAATTTTAAAATTTTTCGAATTTATTTTGTTCTAGTGACACTTCAACCGAAAAACCGGATAAACATCTTGTCTTTGATAAAATTGAAAAAGAGGTTAATTTAAAAAATTTTTTTTACGAAAATGTTTTACCGACTACAACAACAAACAACAAACAAACAACAAACAACTTTTAACATTTTTTTTTTTTCACTTAACGTTATCGACAAACATTTAATAAAGCCCCACCCCTCCTCCCCTCTTAACCGAAAAAGAATTCTATCTCTCTCTTTTTTTTTTTTGGATACATTTGAGAATATTGTAGAAAATATATTATTATTATTATTAATTTTAATGCGTGGGTGTGTGCGTGTGTACGAGGTCAACGAGAGTACGTTAAACTTTTCACACGTTTTACATACGTATACGATCCGTGTTTGAATGTTTTAAAATTTTTTTTCGCGGAAAAATCGGGGGGTCGGTCGTAGTTGAGGGAGGTGAGGTGAGGGGCGGGGCGGGGGAGGGTGTCGGCGAAACGATAGAAATATGGCGGCGTGTCGGCTTTCATTTTATCCGTTACGTAATGAAAATTTTATGACCTGATACGGATTAAAATTTTAAAAATAATAAAAGAAAGAGAGAAAGGAAAAAAAAACGAGTTTTTATTACTGTAAAAGATTAAATAAAAATAAAAAAACATGGATTTTTCTGGACCATGGAGAAAAACAACAAAAAACGGCAGTTTCAGGAAAAGGAGAGGAGAGGGAGAGGTGGAAGAGGGAGGAGAGAGAAAGAGAGAGAGAGAGAGCGAATTCATCTATCTTGATGAAAAAAATTTTTTTTTTTTTTGTTTAGGGAAAAACTCCAAAAATCGTCATCATCATCATCATCCTTATTATTATTATTATCATTATTATCATCGTAAGAAAATTAGTTTCGCGTAAATTAATAATAATAATAATAATTAATTTTTTTTTTTGCAAACAAACGACATTAATAAGTAAATAAATAAATAAAGCGTGAACTGTGAAAAAAAAAAAATTTCAGAGTTGCCAACTGTGAAAATAGTAATAATAATAATAATAATAATAATAATATTAAATAGGAGGAGGAGAGAGGTGGGAGGGAGAGAGGGATTTTCGTGAGGGGATTTTTTTTTTTAATTCACGCGAAATAAAATTTGGAGGGAAAAAAAATCGCAGAAAAAAATTTTTTTTTTTTTTCTCAAATAAAAAATTCACGCCTTTTAAACGATAATAATAATGATAATAATGATAATGATAATGATAATAATAATACTGATGACGATGATAATTACGTTTAATCGACTTTTTTATTGGTGAGAAAAAAAAAGAGTCCAGAGAAATTATTCAAAAATTCCAGATTGTAATTTAGAATTTTCTAGAAATTTTCTTTTTTTTTTTTTAAATAAAAAACGATTATCAATATCATTTATTATTATCATTATTTAATTTTCTCCAGTTTTAAAAAAAAAATCCTCGCCTGGAAGAGAAAAAATTTTTTTTTTTAAACTTTTTTTTTGATTGTCGTCATCGTCACCGTCATCGTCATCGTCGTCGACGTCATCGACATTATTCATTTTATTAAAAAAAAAAGAAAAAAGTTTTTTAATTTAATATTAATATTCGATGGAATATTAAATTTTTATAAAATGTCATGCACGATCATGGATTTTAACGTGGTTTCAGACAAACTATTTTACATTCAATAATGATAATAATAATAATAATGATGATGATAATAACAGTGATAAAAATAATTTTTTATAATTATCCGTAAATAAAACAGGAAAAAATAAATTAAAAAAACCGGAAATGATGACGTAAGGAAAATTTTCCATAAATCCTCTCATTTATTATTATTATTATTATTATTATTATTATTATTATTATTATTATTATTATTATTATTATTATAACGATAAAATGAAATGAAAAATAAATAAATAAATAAAATCATTTTAAAATTCGATTTGATTCCCGTAAAAAAAAAAAAA